GGGGAAAATTCAATCATTCTGACAAGGGGTGGTAGGGTATTCATTTTCACTGACAACTATTGTATCAAAATATGAGTTACTTTCGAAATGAGGTTACGTTAAAGTAAGGTAGGGGCGCCTGTTCAACAAATGATGACATCGGTTTTTCGCAAAAAAAAAAGGAACTGAAAAATGCAACATACATATTTATATTTGGTATCTTAATAACGATTTTTAAATAATAAAGTAATTCTAATACATTTATTAGCTTTAAAAAAAGTATAGTCTATTAGTAATTAGAATTAGAGATAATATTTTAAAATTGTATTTTAATACGACGCACTCATATTCAAACAACCCTTTTGGAAAAAAATCTTTCTGTATGCAATCACAAATTTAACGGCAAAAAAAAAATAAGTTTCGAAAAACTTTCTGTCATTGAAAAAAAAAATAGACGACATGCGAAAAACTGATGTCATCATTTGTTGAACAGGCGCCCCTACCCTACCTTAACTTAACCTCATTTCGAAAGTAACTCATATTTTGATACAATAGTTGTCAGTGAAAATGAATACCTTACCACCCCTTGTCAAAATGTTTGACTTGCCCACATGTTAACCGATGCTATTATCAGCATCCTTTTGGAGAATCGCATTTTAGATGCTTCAAGTCTCTGTAAGGAAATTGTTCAGAATTCACTGCCATACAGGAACACAGGTATCACATAACAGTTATTTGCTTTTAACGAAAATTTTCTTTACCTAAATACCCTGATTAGTTTTAGAATGCATCTTTGGCCACCCCAATGTATCTTCGGGTTTCGCTGTCGCACTTTCCGTCCTCTGTTAAAATACTTCCCAGATATCGAAATATTTTTGGTTTGATTTTGGTATTTCCAGTTCGTACTTTGCATGTTAGGTTCTTTCTTTCGCTGGCAACCATACTTTCCGTCTTCTTGCAATTGATATTTAGTCTTTCTTACTTTTTTTTACTACCTTCTGTAGGAGTTCATCTAACGTCCTTTCCCTGCCAACTATCAACACTGTGCCATTTGCATCTTAAGTCTACATGTCCTTTTGTTTCAATTTTCTCTAACACTTCGACGTTGCCCAAATGTTGATCTATGGTATTATCAGCATTTTTCTTTAGAACCACATTTTTGTTGCTTCAAGCCTCTTCTTCATATCCGAGATGATTATCCAACATTCTACCTTCTAGAAGGCCTGGTATCACGTAATAGTTAAGTACTTATTTTGAATAATAAAAAGAATAATCAAAAAGAGAAAAAAAGCAAAAGTTCAGTCCACGTTATTCTCAGCATCCTTCTGTAGATCCACATTTCTGTTGTCTCAAGTTTCTTGTTTTCTTCAAGTTAGATTAAGCTTTGCTTCCTCGAGACTCAATTTTTCGTATCATTCACTGAATATACCCTGATGAACAAAAAATTTATTATTTTGAAAACAACGCACGGGACAGCCTGGGTAGTCACAGGCAGCCTGTAGGTTGTATTTCGTGCATGCCCGAACTAGATAAATGTTGAAATAAAACAACTTAGACAATATTTCCTATACGAGGATTAAATTACGATAATTTAAGCCTAAGCATATATAAACCGGTCGTGTGCATATATTAGCAAACATGATATCAGAAATTGATATTTTGAAATTGGAGGGCTTTATTTAAAAAGTGACGAAAAACGCAATCATGTTTGAAAAAAAGTACTGTTTAAAAGAGCACTAATTGTTGCTGATCGATGCTGTAAAAAAAAACCCTTTTTAATGCAAATTATAATGGTGATATTAACTGTTTAAGAAAAGGTTCGGTATTCATTGGGACAGTACTGCTTTCGGTTCAGATTTATAAACTCTTTTTCCTAAGACAATTTTTTCCAGAAAACCTATGATTCTCAAGATCGCTAGCTTTCCAGTACTGATGGGAGTTTCCTTCCTAACCATTTTTTTAAGTAGTGTGGAACGTCAACATCCTGATTTTGTACTTATTTTCTCTTCGACTGACATGTGATATCCATTTTAGCTGTCTCCGCTGTTGAAGGTCCTCAAGTGATGCATTTTCTATTATTTGGTTACGTTCTTCGTTTGGGATTCCGTAGATCTGGTTCACAAGATTCCAAGAAGAATGGTCCTCACTAAAAACTACACATTTCATTCGTTCGAAGCCATTTTTAACCATTGAACTGAGAAAGCAGTTGTACACAGCAGACAGTTTAGACATTTCTGAACAGGTTTGGTGCCTTTATCTGACGAGACAATTGAAGAACATGACTGGAGTTTTTAATTTAATGTTTTTGTTTTGTAGAAATTGGCGGTGTTGGGAAAAACTACCTTTATTCTGTAGTGGAATAAACAGTGGAGCCTATTCTGTAGTGGACTAAACAGTGGAGCCTATTCTGTAGTGGACTAAACAGTGGAGCCTATTCTGTAGTGGAGTAAACAGTACACCCCCGGTGACTATATGAACTAGTCCATTACTCTAAATAGCTCCAGGTTACGCATAAAAGTTGATGTTTTTTCGGGTCTGGCACTTCGCTGTCTGGCTTGCGACTGTCAAGGCCTCTGTCTTTGAACAGAGTTCAACTCAATCGGGGCTCTGTCTACGGATAGGCTAAGAAAAACAGACAAGCTGTTTTCCATGTTTGCAGAGAATGGGAAACTTTTGATCCAGCGGGCCAATTCTACGCTCTCAGGTTCCCCACGTTAAACCTGACCGTGTGCCGCATTCTGTCGAAGTGGGAAAGTATGGGTAATTACCTAGCCGTTAGAGTAAGTCTTCAGACTAAATAATACAAGACGACACGGCAAGTAGCTGAAGCATTTTCGTGTAGAAAATCCTTATACTTTTTCTTTAAGCGTTTCACCCCAAGCAAGGCAGGAAGCCACTAGGACGCAAGGGGTTACAGAAGATTTAGAGCAAGATCAGATAGGAGTGATAGAGGAAAGGATGAGGAGATGGATAGTGGATTGATCAAGGCAACTGGAGATGTCGATTGACATTACATTTGAATGGTTAGAGATTATAGCTCTCAGGGAAACTAGAATAGGGAAGGGAGTTCGACAGGCGAGAGGTGCGATTGGAGTAGAAGAGGCGGCTACATTTAACAGTTTCAACAGTGAAAGGGTGAGAGCGGGATGCCAGCCTCGTAGGACGCTTGAATTCGCGAAGCCTGGGAACCAGCGAAAGCAGCTCATCGGAGCAATTACCATGAAAGTATTTGTAAAAAGAGACAGAGAGAGGCGACGGCACGTCTGTGAGACAGCGACTGCAGACGAGATGCCAGAAAGGGCCAATTATATTGCATATCCGCCTCTGGATCTTATCAAGAACCCCGAGGCAAACAGAAGGGGCTCCAGACCATATATGGCAGCAATACTCCATGCAAGGGCGAATGGTTGATTTGTAAATTTGAAGGATCGATTCCGGGGAGAAAAATTTCTTGGCGAAGTACGTTATATAGATAAAAGTATGTTATAGTAATACCTATGGAATAGTTGCGTTATATTAAGTCTATGTTCAGTTTCCTTATCATCTATAATAAAGTTATTATAAGTGACCTATAGACTAAGTTATTTAAAGTGTTTTGTATTTATTAATTCCATATCCTGAATGTACCATTACTGTATTCAGTTCAATTCCAGATTATAATTCTTGTCAATGGAAGGTTTATTTTGAGTTCTATTTATTAGTATAGTTGATAATGATCACTGATTTTCTGTTCAAGACTATGTTTATCCAACTGTAAATACCTATATATACATCGTCATTACATTTTCCTCGGGAGGGAAAGCAGGATCGCTGTTTTGTATTAGTATATCCGTTTGGAATCTGGTAGTGGATGCTTAAATACCCATTTCTTCACATCTGTGCTTCTACGAAAAGATTAAATAGACTGGAACTCTATTTCCTCCATGTCATACTCCTAATGAGGTTTGAAATGTTTCCTTATTGATGTTCTCTCCAGACATGTAAGATTTTGTGGATTAATAGAGTTCCTCTATTAAATCGAGGCATTCGGATGATTTATAGCTTAAAAGGCGATTTATAATGGAGGAGAAGTGGAAATCTCTGTTGATGTGATCATATAAGGTCAACATAGTAGCTATACAAATATATATTGAGTTAGTATACAATGTCCTGGAGTTGTTTGATGGCATATATGCCATCAATTCACCTCTTAACAAAACGAAAGGCAAACTGGGTTGTGAGTTGACTTTCATAAAACGATGAGAGCCTAGTGAATAATACTGAGTACTTTTACCATAATGGGCCGTAATTGGGTTACCTCTTGATATATCCTGGTCTTAAAGACTAATGTTTTTCTTTCTATGGTTTACTGATGCGCGATAATTTTTTTTGGGGGGGATGCATTTCTGATTTTCCTTATGAAACTAAGAAACTTGTCCTTGATTTCGAGGGGAAAGTAAGCTATTTTCAAAAGTTTAGCCTCAGTGTTAAGTGATATTTTATTATACCTTAGTTTTCATTGTGGCAGGGGAGTTCTATAGCTTTCGGAACTTCCCCATCAGTAGGTTCGTTAGACAGATTTTGTGATGACTAGATGTGTTCTATTTACACGGGCATCTTTAGTTTAGTTCAAAATATGAGGCTCGAGAGCCTCTGAAGGTAGACGGTTACTACTAAAGTGGTTTTGTGGGATGTCATATGAAGGAAAGAGGTGGTGGTAGAAAGTGAATTGTATGGGGATAAGGGGGATAGATAACGTATGATCTTTGCTTACTTGAAATGGTAACACCTGTTCTTACACTGTGTGTCACCCATGACGTTTTCAACTTGATAAACCAAATCGAGCTGTCTAACATAACTCTACTCTCGAACAGGAACAACTCGGCCTTCAGTCGAACAGAAGGGGCAGGAGTTGACATCGCTTTGCGCAGAGAGTGTAGTCTTTATTCGTCTGTGCACAGAGAAAATGAAATGTCCGCGTTGGAATGTGAGAAGGAAAGAGCACATAAAACATTCGAATTGTAGTTTATTTTCTTCTGCTTTTACATATTCGACAGTGACCGAAAATTTATGACTTTGTAAAACGTGGCTAATCCATGAATCGATAAAACAAAGGAAATAAAAACACCTAGAATAAACGAAATAGACAGACAGACAGACAGATAGATAGACAGACAGATAGATAGATAGATAGATAGATAGATAGAATAGATAGATAGATAGATAGATAGATAATGAACAGTCATAGATAGATAGATAGATAGATAGATAGATAGATAGATAGATAGATAATGAACAGTCATAGATAGATAGATAGATAGATAATGAACACAAAGATAGATAATGAACACAATATAGATAGATAGATAGATAGATAGATAGATAGATAGATAGATAATGAACAGTCTGAGATAGATAAATAATAGATAGATAGATAGATAGATAGATAGATAGATAGATAGATAGATAGATAGATAATGAACACAAGATAGATAGATAGATAGATAGATAGATAGATAATGAATAATGAACACAATGATAGAAAGCACACAGCTACATATTATACAGTCTAAGATAGATAGATAGATAGATAGATAGATAGATAGATAGATAGATAGATAGATAGGAAGGAAGGAAGGAAGGAAGGAAGGAAGGACGGAAGTACGTATATTTACGCTATAATGGCCTGTATTGTAACGCAGACAGAAGCATAAGTGGACAGATTTTTCTTTTTATATTTTCATATAATATAACTGACAAAGAAAATCGAAAAAAGGTACGAGAATTTGTGAATTTATATTGATGTCGAATTGAATTTTTTTTTTTGTTTTATCCACTAAGGACATTTTTTTCTGAGCCTTCGTCACTCAGCATTTTTACTGTTTTCTTCATCCATTCACGTCTTTCCGTTTTTTTTTGTTTTGTTTTTTTTGTTGTTTTTTTTTTCGATTCATCAATTCCGGGTTTTATTTTATCCTTTACGTCCCATACACAATATTCATTCTACAATTTTGTCGATTTTGTTCACCTTTCTCTTTTGTTGTCTTTTATTCCCTTCCGTCAATTATTTATCTTTTTTTTCTCTTTTATTCCTTCGTCTTTTTTTGATTATTCCATTTATTCTTCTAAAAGAGTACTAAACTGCTACGGGATATCAGTCCTTCTAAAATGCAATGAATTCTATATAATCTCCTCAAAGATAACAAAAAAAAACAGACTTGAAGGGACAGAAATGTGCTTCTACAGAAAGATGCTGTGAATACCATGGATTAACATGTGAGCAATGTCGAAGTTTTAAAGAAAATTGAAACAAAAATCGCATTTATAGTTAAGACGCAAATGACACAGAGTTGATAGCAGGCACAGAAAGAACACTACATATGTAATGAGGTAGTGAAAGAAAGCGAGTAGAAAAAGAATAAATATCAATTGTTTTCTTTGGTTATCACTAAAAGGAAGAACCCAACATGTAAAGTACGAAATGAAAATACCAAAATCAAAGAAATATCTGGGAATTGTTTTAACAGAGGACGGAAAGTGCTACACTGCGACCCGAAAACGCGTTGGGATAACCAAATATGCATTCCAAAAGTTACTCAGTAAAAGGTAAAGAAAATGTTCGTTAGAAACAAAGGAAAGGGTACTGAACTGTTACGTGATATCAATTCTCCTGTATGGCAGTGAATATTGGACAGTCTCTTTACAGATGAAGAAGAGACATGAAGCAAGAGAAATGTGGTTTTATAGAAGAACGCTGAGAATACCATGGACCTAACATGTGAGTACAGATACTGATTTATATAAAATGCAAGCAAAAAGGAAACATATACATAACATCAGGAAGAAAGCAGTTAAAATTTCTTGGGGCCATAATGAAGAAAGAGGGTTTAGAAAATTTGATACTCACAAGACAGGTTGAAGGCAAGAGTAAATGAATAGCGGAACAATGTTTAGACGATATGATAAAAAGAGAAAAAAATAATAAGGAAAGAAAGGAAATTGTAGAGAGCCACAATCGCCTACGTCCTACAGGGACACGGCACATAAAAGAAGAAGCTTGACTGCTTTTTTTTCTTTATTCTTTTTTTCTCTCTTTTCCTCTATACATCCTTTTCCTTGTTTTTTTCCTTCTATTCTGTCAACCATTTTTATTATTCTTTTGCTTCTTTTCCTTCTTCCTTCCATTGATTGGTTTTCCTTCTTTATTAAATTTCTTCTTTTCTTTCTTGTTTTATTTTCTTCCTTCCTTCAATCTATTCTTTCTATTTTTAACTCCCCCCACTTTCTCGATCATTTCTCTCGTTCTTTCTTTAATAGTTTTCTTTTGATCTTTCTTGCTTGCTTTTTCAGTGTCCATTACTTCATCATATTCTGATTATCTATTTATCTATCTTTTTTTCTTTCTTTCCTTTAATCAATTTTCTTTATTTTATTCATTCTTTTCTTCCTTTCTTCTATGGAATTATTTGTTAATCACTTCCTTCTTTCTTTCTTTCCTTCATTCCTTACTTCCTTCCTTTCAGCTACTTTTTTTTATTTAATTTCTTCTTTTCTCCCTTCCTCTCTTCCTTCTTTCTTTCCTATCACCTTATTTTTTTATTTCCTTCTTTCTATCACCGAATTTTTTCTTATTTAATTGCTTCTTTCCTTCCCATCACTTAGTTTTTATTTTCTCTTTAATGTCCTCTTCTTTCTTTCTTTTCTTCCTATCACTTATTTTTAGTTCATTTCTTTTTATTTCCTTCTTTTCGCTTATTTTCTTTATTTAATCGCATCCTTCTTTTTCCTTCCTTCCTTCCTTCCTTCCCTCCTTCCTTCCTATCACGTTTCTTTTTATTATTTTTTCATTTTTATCACCTATTTTTATTTTTCCTTCCTTCTTTTCTTTCTTCTTTCTTTCCTTCTTTCTTTCTTTCTTTTCTTCCCTCCTTCCTTCTTTCTTTCTTTCTTTCTTTTCTTCCTTCCTTTTTTCTTTCTTTCTTTCTTTCTGTCTTTCTTTCTTTTCTTCCTTCCTTCTTTTTATATTTTTGTTTTCTCCTTTTTTTTTTTCTTTTCTTTCTTTCTTTCTTTTTTTCTTTCTTTTCTTCCTTCCTTCCTTCCTTCCTTCCTTCCTTCCTTCTTTCTTTCTTTCTTTTTTCTTCCTTCCTTCTTTCTTTCTTTCTTTCTTTCTGTCTTTCTTTCTTTTCTTCCTTCCTTCTTTCTTTCTTTCTTTTCTCCCTTCCTTTTTCTTTCTTTCTTTCTTTCTTTCTTTCTTTCTTTCTTTCTTTCCTTCCTTCCTTCCTTCCTTCATTGTTTCCTTCCTAGTACCTTTTTTTATTTTCTTCTTTCTGATCTTTACTTACATTGTTTTTTCCTTCATATCAATTTTTTTTCTTCTTTCTTTACATCTGTTTTTCTTCTTTTATATTCTTCTTTCCTTCCCGTCCTGGGTAAGACGATAAACTACGTCCAACAGCAATGCCTCTGAACAGGAGGTTTTGAGGAGCGTGGAAACACCTCTTAATTGCTGATGTTCCCAGGTCCTCCCTGACCCGGGGTGGTAGCACCTGTTAGGGTCCCAGCTATGGTCAAATAGTTGACACCCAAATTTGTGTAAAAATAGGTTTTAATACCAGAAATACTTTGTAATAAAAAAAAAATATTACCAGCAATAATTTTTGAAGGAAAAATCATTATCAGCAATACTTTTAAAAAAATTACCAGCAATACAAACAGCTATACATTTTTTGATAAAAATATGACCAGCTATAGATTTCTTCAAGGAAAAATATTCCCAGAAATAGATTTTTGAAGAAAAATATATTACCAGCAATAAAGATTTTGTCAGCATTAAATAACCCATTGAGGTTGATATGCCGTAAAACAAACCAAACCAAATTTCTTTAGTTGAGTCTATCCTTCATTCACAGCAAAATTTTCACGTTATTTCTCTCGTATTTTTTATTCTTTCTTTCCTGTTTGCTTTTAGTTCAAATTATTTTACTTCTCTATATTTCTCTATATTTACTTACCTATAATAGTTTGCATTATTGTAATCTATTTTCTTTCTTTTCTTTCTTCTTCCGGACTATTCTTCTATTGTCTTACTTTCTTTGGGACAATATGGAATATACGTCCTACAGATTAGACTAATTTTAAGTAATTGAATGACAAAACGTAAAAATAATCCTGTTACACGTTTCGTCTTTCGAAAGGACTTCTTCAGACTAAATAATCTTTTATTGATTGGAATTATATATAAGTAGAGGGAAATAAAAAGTATACAGATTTAATTAATTAGTAATTAATTCACGCGACACTATATAAAAAAATAGACTAATTTCTGAGTCTTCTACGGAAAATTTATATCCAAATTCACGCAACAGAAAAAAAAACAAATAATAAGCCTACTACAATTACCATGCGAAATATATATATATATATATATATATATATATATATATATATATATTGAGCTGTGATACAGTGAAACAGTCTGTCGTGGATGACAATATATATATATATATACGTATATATATATATATATATATATAGTTTATGAAAAACTAGGTAATCCGTATGGGTAGACCCAAGGAGGATAAAATCCAGAGAGCTCAATGTCCATCCAGAGCAAATAATTTAAATAAAAACAGACCACTTTATGGTTCCATGTAATTCATTATTTCACCAGAGCCCTTTTAAAGGACTGTGGTCATTAGACTTTACTTCTAAAGGTTGAAACGAAAAATGAACAGAAATTTACATTTTTTTTGACGGGCACACGCAAACACCGTGCATATATATATATATATATATATATATATATATATATATATATATATATATATATATATATATGTGTGTGTGTGTGTGTGTGTGTGTGTGTGTGTGTGTGTGTGTAAAATAACGATGTCTCACCCAATACAAAAGAACTAGGTCCCGTTGATAGCGATATCAGAACGCGTCAACGGGACCTAGTTAGCACTTACTAAATGGGTCATATTATTTTACACCCACACAATGATTTGAGGGTTCGTATATGTCATACGCCAGGTATATCTTCAAGGATGCTTTGTTCTTTTTTAGAAATTCATTTTAAACTTTAAAGATTATAATTAAAAAAGAGGTTTGGAAGAATTCTTGTAATAATTTATTAGTCATCGAAAATCTTTTTTTATTCACTACATCCTTCATTTATATCATTTAGGATAGCAAATAAAAGCTTATATAATTAAATAATTAGATAGTTTAATGCAGCTTTTATGTTTCGAATCGGAGCATATCTTGTAGATTTTGGTAATAGCTTAAGAAAAAATAATTTTAAAAAAATATATTTGATGATACGTTGCTTTCAATAGGACAAGAAATAAGCAGACTCTAAAATTAAACATTGAATCTACAGACTGTCAAGGATTACTCAGACCTTCCAACGTTTACACAAAACATTTTGTGCTTTGGGAACTTTTGCAGTAAACATAATTTTTGGTCGTAAATATGTAAAATTTATGAGAATAACTAGCAGCATGGCCCGGCGTTGGCCATGCTGGATTCAAAAATCGTACGACTCATACACCAATCGCTATCACTTGACTTAAAATATTTTTTCCCTTCCTTGCCTTTTGCCATGCTGATGTTGCTACATGCCTTACTTCTTGCCTATCTCACACTGCGAATTTTTTCTAAGCTCTATACTAAACATTAAATCTGTTACGAAAAAAGAACTAAACAAAATGAACACAAAACGATCAGCTTAAAAAAAAAAGGACTCGTAACTGGAAAAACCGAATGAAAAAAGAATGTTAACAACAAATATTTTTCACACCCAACCCAGTTCTGCGGAATCAGAATCAACGTTGAGTTTAAGCAAGCGAATGAGCCAATTGGAGTAAAGTGGAATGCAGATTTAAAATTTTCCACTTGTGACGAATGCAGCTATCGATTTTTTTTTTTTTTTTTTGCATGCTAGCTAATATTCGTGTCAGTCAGCTGTTGAACCTTCCTGCCTATTCGTGGCAGCCAGCTATAGACCCTCACTCTGACCACTACATGAAAACTGCCGTAGAAGCATGAAAAAATCGATTATTTCCACTATCGGTGGGAGTTGTGAAATGCAAAGTCGGTCTTGGCCTTCCCGCTAACTTGGAGCATGTGCATGTAAATTTTGGTGCAAACCCGTCGAAAATTGCGTCCGGGCATTCGTTACACACACACACACACACACACACACACACACACACACACACACACACACACACACACACACACACACACATCCTGCCTTTTATAGATAGAGATATACGGATATCTTTCCTTAGGTGTTTACAAATTGTACACTCTTCAATTATTAACGTTAACAATGAACTATTTTACAGATCTACAACAGATGTTTGTTATATTTCGTTCCCTATACCTACACACACACACACACACACACACACACATATATATATATATATATATATATATATGTATCCAGCTCTTATCTCAAATAACAACTTAAAAGAGACTGTTTGATCAACACAAGGAATGTTAAAAGATTCCTGTTAAAAAGATAAAAAAAATAAAAAAACAAATGAAAACTACAGACAAAAGTTCATTTTCTCCAGCAAAAGACATTCATTTCTGTAGTTTACTGCTACCAGGAAGCAGAAATATTTCTTCTCCTGATGATGGCCATTTCGGTCGAAACTAGTCGAGGAATCTAAATGAAATAATAATAAAAAAAAACGAAAGAATATTAACCTACAACCCAGTGTGTCTAAAGATTTTAATAATTTTTTTAATTTTTTTTTTATTTTCTTATTGTTCAATATATATATATATATATATATATATATATATATATATATATATATATATAGGATCCCATCAATAAAAATATTTAGTCAAGGAACGAAACGTGTAACATGCGATCTACAGTTTTGTCATTCACTTACCGACCATTAATTAGTCTGATATCTTCTTGTGTACTGTGTCTCTCCAGGACGTTGGAAATTATGGCTCTTCACAATTTCATGTGATTTGCAGCTCTAAATAAATTTGTCTTTTGGCCATCTTTCCCAAAGCCTGTTCCGCCCAAGCTCGCCACGTAGGTCATGCGCTGTTTTCCGTTGTCTCTCTTATTTTCAAACTCTCCTGTGAGTATCAGATTTTCCAAACTCTCTTTCCTCATTATGCGTCCGAGAAATTTCAACTGTCTCTTCCTCGCGTTAAGTATAAGTGTCCTTCTTGTTAGCATTATCTCTAGAAGTTCATCGTTGCTCACGTGTTCTGTCCATAGTATTCTCAGCATCCTTCTGTAGAACCACATTTCTGTTGCTTCAAGTCTCTTCTTTGGCTGTGAGGATATTTTCCAACATTCACTGCCATATAAGAGGACGGGTATTACAGAACATTTCAGTACTCTTTTCTTGTTTCTAACGATAATTTCCTGTTTCTTAACATTTTGCTTAACTTTTGAAAGGCATATTTCTCTATTCGAATGCGCCTTCGGATTTCAGTGTCGCACTTTCCGTCCTCTGCTAAAACGCTTCCCAGATATCTAAATTCTTATATTTGTTTGATTTCGGCATCTCCAATTTGTAATTTACATGTTGGACTGTCCCTTTTGCTAACAACCATGCATTCTGTCTTTTTGTAATGGACATTTAGCCCTTTCTTCTCGCTTTATTTCACTAGCTTTCCTATGAGTTCTTGTAGTCCCCTTTCTGTGTTTGCGTGTGACAGAGATTATATTCAACCGTTATTTTTTCATGCACAATCTAAAATTCTTTCCAATATACTTTGTGTTTTTGGTGAGCCAAAAGATAGTGAAATGACTCATAGTTGTTAGATGAATGGACAGGAGGATCCCGAGTGGTTCGAATGCAGATCTGCTAAGTATTATTATTCAATCAATCAATATCAATACATTTAGGCTGCATGTTGGAGTGATTAGGACGTTCGTTTGCCAAACATGAGACTCGGGTTCGAATCTCACAATGGTGATTACTTGATGTTATCAGTCTGAAGAGACGATGTCAGATGTGTGGCATATTTGGAAAGAGCCTGAAAACCATTGGGTTGACCCAAGTGAAATTGGATATACGGAACTAGTTGGGAGCCGTCGATGGTTGAGCTACCACGAGGTTGCAATTCATCTTGACCTTTTTTTCTAAACTGTTGATCGCGCAAGACAATGCGCTCTCTCCCAGAAACAGTAGCTAAGTTCCGCTCTGTATGGTGGACTCTGTGAGCGTTGAACAAACACAAATTTGCCTGTGCATTCTTCTGCTACAGGGATTGGCTTGCCGTCCTAGGAGACAGGCACACTCGGATACGACCGGCAAGCCAATCCTTAGCCGAATAGTGATCTGAAATGTTGTATAATACCCAAACTATTTAGTATCTGTCTATATTTCTGAGATGAGGTATTATGTACACTACTTACATTATTCGGACTATTGCCCTCACTTTTGCCGTCATATTTATTACAACGTTTCGGCCGTTGTACGCTCCGGCCTTCTTCAGGTGGTTGAAATGTCGAACTGAACCATTTATTTCGATCACTGGGGTAGACTGTTCTAGTTCCACGTGCCATGTTTAATGGATGTCAATTATCAGTTATCTCCTGTTAATTTCCCTCTGAAAGTTCTCCACTGCCTTAACCGGGTATTGAACTCACACTCTTTGGGTCCTGTCACTGGGTCTAACCAACGCCTTTATCCACTGTGCCATGTGTCTTTGAAACGTATAACTTTTTGTCATTCAGTTACCCACATTTATTTATTCATTTTTTTGTTTTCCTGTCTAGTTTCAATCTTTCTTTTTTTCTTTTTTTCTTTCTTTCTTTCTTTTTTCTTTCTTTCTTTCTTTATTTATTTATTCTAGTAATGCTCTGCATGTTTGTGTTTCTTTCTCTACTAAGAAGGGAATTCCATTTGAACAGTCTCTTCCCAAAGAACCGCTGCTTCGTAGAACAGGCTCCCGAGAGGATGCTTCCTAGATCACTGCAAAATTAATCATTTTAAGCTTACGGTCATATCACGTTGAAACACGGCTTCCAGTACGATCAGCGAAGTTAAGCAACGTCGTGCCTGGTCAGTACCTAGACGGGTGACCGCTTAGAAATACCACGAGTTTTAAGGTCGGATGCGTGAGTAGTCTAATGGATAATGGTTTGAAATTCTTAAACGAAGAGCCGAGTTTCAGTTGTGTTCGTTACTTTCACTTATGCGTAAATACCCTAGGGGAAGGAATGAATCCATCTCTTCTTCCCCCAGCTATGGGTTAATTATTAGGTTGGTACAAAAATAATGACGTAATAATGTCGTTTTTGACGTATTTTTTAACGTCAAAAAAACGACATTATTACGTCATTATTTTTGCACCAACCTAATAGTAAGATATGGATCACCAAAACATATTATTATCTTGAAATCAAAAAAATAGAATAAAATGGCGTACAAAATCTTTAGATTTCGGCATTAAATAACCCATAGAGATGTTGATATGCCGCTAAGGAAAGACAAGCAACCAATATTAACTACTTTAAGTCTAAGCTTAACCGTTGTCTTTCCTATATATCGTCTGCACTCATTACCTCCTTCTAGTACGTGAAATGACCTCAGTCAGTAACTCTACCTTGAGTGCCTCATGGGCCTTGTATTGGGTGAACAATTAAGATTTTAAAGAAATCTTTCTTTATTATTTCATTCATTTATTTTCTCTATTTTTTTCTTTTTCTTTCTTTTTTCATTTGCTTCGATTTAGTCATTCATATTTTTTTCGCTTTCTTCGTTCTAGTCACCATTTTTTTTTTAAAATTTCATTGCTTTTAGGTTCATTTTTATTTTATTTTTATATTTCTTTACATCCTCCTTTCGCTTCATTCATCCATCATTTTTTTTCCTTCTTCGTCATCATTCATTATTTTTTTTTCTTTACTTTATTTATCGATTTGGTTTTGTTGCTTATTATTAACTTGTTTTTTTTTTTTCCTTTTTTTTTCTCCTGCCACCATTCCTCCAATCTTCCTTCCATTTTTACTCTCTCTTTTTTTATTTCCTTCGTCCTTTTCTTCTTTTTGTTCCACCCACTGTTTTCCGGTTTTCTTACAGGTGAAACACAAACCCATACATCATTCAGGCAGCATCCCAGAAGAATAACATTACTCATTGCTTTCGTGAAACAATCACTAAATATTTCTTAACACCTTGTGATCGCCACAATCTCAGCAAAATTGTCACTTCCTATTTCTAAGTATCGAACGGATTATCCACTAACTAACTATCCTAAAAGTCATTTACAGTCAGTTTATTTGTTACCGTGACATCCCTAATATGGTCCACATCTTAAATTAGCGAAGTTATTTCCCAACTCACGTCAGTTCTACACCAATTCCGTCAATATCCAGCAATATTATGCGTTTTATTTCTATTTATTACACGAAAACCAATGACATGACAAGAGTGGCTTAACAAATTCCTCACCTGATACGGAGTTTTTAATCGAATTTTGATCTGAAATATTTACTGTATAATATTCGATCTATGGGTTTAATATTCACAAGTGAATTAAGCACATTGAAGAAATTAGATTATTTTTTTAAAAATTAATATTTATTGCGTATTATAATTTTTTTAAATCATTATAATATGGACATGAAATTCAAAGACATTATGTAGATCTATGTATAAAGATTTATTCAACCATAGTATTTTGTTTGACTAGCTTACGACATTTTGAGACAGCTTCATTATTCCATCCTCTCAGAAATTTTAGGTTATGGGTTGTAAATTTTTTAATCTTTGGAGCCGTGACCTGGTTTCAGGTAGTGTGAAAGGAATTTGTTTCAATACCTACATTTAGAACGGTGCTCTGATTTTAGTTTATTAGTTTATATTGTTCTGCAAAAGTGATTATTACTATTTTCTCCTTTAGGCAAAAATGAATTTGTTTTTAGCCATTGTTATAAAATCTAGTGTTAAAGACTCTTGTACTTCGAGGACGCCGTCATCAAAACACTTGATCGTCATCAAGGAGTTAATATCTGAATGCTGAATTGACTGGAGTAGGAGACAGTGAGTTCACACAATTGAGCCAAGCCGACATTTGCAGTATTTGAGACCTTTTAATGATTTTCAGCTCAAATATGGATTTGAGGTGATGTTATTTGTACAGAAGAAGAGGAAGATTAGAACAAAACTTTCACGTTTTAAATTTAAAAATAGGGATTTATGTAATATATATGTTTATGCATATAATATATATAGAGAGAGATATGTATGTAATATATATAGAGATATGTACGTAGTATATATAGAGAGATATGTATGTAATAGAGAGATATGTTATAATATATATATATATATGTATGTATATATATATAGATATGTATGTAATATATATAGAGATATGTATGTAATATATATAGAGATATGTATGTAATATATATAGAGATATGTATGTAATAGAGAGATATGTATGTAATATATATATATATATGTGTATGTAATATATATAGAGATATGTACGTAATATATATATAGAGAAATATGTATGTAATATATATATAGATATGTATGTAATATATATATATAGATATGTATGTATATATATATATGTATGTATGTATATATATATATATAGAGAGAGAGAGATATGTATGTAATATATATAGAGATATGTATGTAATATATATAGAGAGATATGTTTGTAATATATAGAGAGAGATATGTATGTAATATATAAAGAGAGATATGTATGTAATATATATATATAGTTATGTATGTAATATATATATAGATATGTATGTAATATATATAGAGATATGTGTACGTAATATATATATAGAGATATGTATGTAATATATATATAGATATTTATGTAATATATATATAGATATGTATGTAATATATATATATAGATATGTATGTAATATATGTAGAGAGAGATATGTATGTAATATATATAGAGAGAGATATGTATGTAATATATAGAGAGAGATATGTATGTAATATATATGTATATAGAGAGATATATGTATGTAATATATATATAGATATGTATATATATATATATATATATATATATATATATATATATATATATATATATATATATATATATATAAGGAAACTGATATAAAGATTATAACTTATATAAATTAATTAATATAATAATAAACTGAACATTTTTAAAAGGACTGATCTTCGACCATCTTTGACATCAATGAAACCGAATATAAAAAAAAAACTCACAAAGCACTATCAACCACAAGTATCTCATTGAATAAATCTGCCCTTTTTTAGTTTAATTACTCACATATTTTAAAATGGTTTATGTATTCAGAATTTAGTTTATTTATATACAAGTTTGTTTTCATTAAATTAGTTTTACTTCTAAATAAATCATATACATTTACCGTTTCTATAATACAATTCCTAAACTTATCTATTAGTAAAATAAAGAATGAGCCTTTTTCATCGAATCGTTATGCACCAAACAAAATTATTAGTAGTAAAAGTGATTCATGGGTAAAAAGGTTAAGAACCACTAATCTAGACGATTGTGGTTTTATGTCAGAATAGATACTGCACTCAACTTCCAGCGAAGAGCCAAGTTTTCCCAAAATAGCTTAAATTTCTATCTAACCTTTAGCACTTTGCATTATTTCTACAGTTTTCTTTTTAAAGGCTTCTCAATTGCAGTAACCTTATTGATAATTTCACCAAAGCTGGCAAAGTTTACCCGGCCGCTGCACTTGAAAAGGACCTACAATCAGTGGTTAATTGGGGCAGAAAATGTCTTGTAAATTTTAATGCTTCCAAATCTAAACTGATTTCATTTAACCACCATAGTGAAAATTCCCTGCCCACTATCAGCATGACTGATGCTCGACTCCTGGAGACCGTCACGCTGCGCCTACGTGGCCTCACGTTTACAGCTGACTTAATGTGGAAAATCTATATTGAAACAATAGCTGTAACTACTGCAATGATGGTTAGGTCACTGTGTCGTGCCAGTTTTTTTCTCAACAGAGTCCATCTTCACAAATCAAATTGACCATTCGACCGTGCATTTAATACTCTTGCCATATCTGGTCGGGTGCTTCTGCTATTCGTTTCGAGGTTCTTGACAAAATCCAAAGAAGGATCAGCAATGTAATCGATCCTAACTTGGCATCTGAATTTCAGTCACTTTTTTCACAGACGTGATGTGGATTCCTCCTGTCTTTTCTACAATTATTTTCATATCATCAACTGCTCTGACGTACCTGCACTACATGAATTTAAGCGTGCAACTAGCATCTAGATCCCACCTTTTTACTGTTGAAATAGTTAAATGCAATATTACAATAGCAGCATATGACAAGAGCTGTGAAATCGAAACAAATTCAAATACAGGGATCAGAGTCACCTTCAATGACAGGATAAAAGTTTTGTACAGCAAAATCACATACAGAGTGATAAAGGTTAATTCTTTTACACTTCTTTTGGGAGTATTTTCTGTCTCAACACTAGATTCAGCACTCAAAACAACATAACAATAAAAGTTTTCAGGGTTGTGCAACCTTTATTCCCCAGTCAGTTATGTGCCATGCGTGATACACGCTTAAGCGATCATGACTGACGAGGCAGATTTTTTTTTCCTGCAGTAGGTTACCATTCTTTTCTGCGGTAGACCAGTTGCCATCCAAGGCTATAGAACCCGGTTTGTCCTGCTATTTACCCATAGCTTGGGGAAGAAGAAGGAGATCCATACCTTTCTTAAGGGTATTAGCACGTAAGTGAATGCAATGGATTCGACTGGAATTCGAACTCGGATTTCTGATTCCCTAATCCGAGCCGCTATCCATTACTCCACCAAAATAGAAATTTAAGTATATTCACCGGGTCACAAATTATTTTATTTTAAAAGTTCAAAACATTGTGAATATCAAATTTTAATAACAAATATATATAATTATAAAAAAATACTGTATAATTGACAATAAAAAAAGAAAATATACATACACAAAATAAAATAAATTCAATGTGATTTTTGACATTGCTTTTCTTTTTTAATATTGTTAATATCTGCTTTTATTGTACCAGTTTTTATTCTAAGAATGTTAGTTAAATGGGAATCACAGAACCGATTTCTTTCAGCAGTTTGGATGTTTTTCATGGACAAAAAGAATTGTTCAAAGCAGTATGTACTACGCCTGAGATTGGAGTATATAAACTTGTTCATAATAAATTGTGGCCTGTAAACTACACACACAAACCCCCACTGTTTTTTTTTGTTGTTGTTTTTTTGTTGTTTTTTTAAATCATTTCACCCTAAGAAAGAAAATAATGCCACTAAGATGCAATAGGCTACTAAGCGTTAAAGAATGTGAAAAAAAAAAAACATTATTAAGACTAGAGAAAAATAAATGAACAGGAATTAAGATGACAACAGGTAAGAATCGACATTGCATTAAAATTTTTGAAGATGAAAGTTAACTGGAAAATAAGAGGCCGAAAGAGAGTTCCACAAGCGAGAAGTGCGAGAGAAGAAAGCGTTGGCACGGTACTTAAGGTTATATCAACTGTAAAATGATGAAACTAAGCTGCCAATCACAAAAACATGACCATTCTTCAATAATTTTGACCAAGATTAATAGGCATCCTTACGTTATTTGATTTCTTGTCATGTTCGCTGTAGCATAGCCTCATCAATGGTTGCAATGGCATCAGTGATCTTTTGCTTTAGATCAGTGATGTCCCGTATCTTTGTCCAATACACGATATCTTTAAAAAAAAGAAAAATGTATTGTTGATAATATTTTGTTCTTCAAAAATGCACCGCTGATAACATTCCCTTCCTCAAAAATGCACTGGTGGCAACATTCCCTTCCTCAAAAATGCACTGGTGGTTTTCCTTCAAAAATGTATCGCTGGTATTGAAACCTATTTTTACACCTTCACGGCGTCCCGACCCCAGTCCGGGGGCCAACTACCCACCCACAGGTGGGACCCCAACAGGCGTCACCACCTCGGGTCAGGGCGGACCCGGGAACATCAGCAACCAAGAGGTGGCTCCACGCTTCCGAAAACCACCCAACCAGAGTCTCCGCCGCCGGACGCAGCCCATCGTCCCACCCAGGACGCCAATATAGATTATCATCATACCCAGGACGATGGACACCCTGTATGGTGATATTAAAAAAAAAACAAGATCAGTCAGTTATGTGCCATGCTTGGGCGATCATGTACCTTTCCATAAATGATTGACGAGGCAGATTTATTCCCGCAGTAAGTTGCCACTTCTTTCTGCGGTAAACCAGTTGATATGATTAGCGTTGAGACCGTGTAGTATAAATATGAGATCTAATAATAATTTCAGGGCTTACGGCCGTATCACGTTGAAACATCGGTTCCCGTGCGATCACCAAAATTAAACAAAGTTGATCCTGGTCAGTACCTAGATGTATGACCGCTTCGGAATACTAGGTACTTGTTACGGGGGGGGGGGTATATGCATGACTAGTGAGCGAGTCAAAATGACTTAATTCCTTTTATCGTCTACCAATAGAAGGTTGACCAATCAGAAGCCGCACAACACTGTATCCGTCGTATATAAAGGCGGCTATCTTTGTTTTCCTACCGGAATGACCAGAGGAAACTTGTCCGGCGAACATGACAGACGGAAGAACTACGCTCTGCTACTTTGCTGCGATATTCACTGCGAACCTGCACTACGCTTTCCTACTTTCTCTGAAATATTCACTGCCAACCTCTGGATTCTATACTCGAAGACGACCGTCATGAAAATGTCTAACAGTACTGTCAGTTTGGAATGGATAATGCCTCGAAATTGTTAATCGGGGAGACGACATCAAATTCCAGTTCGGTTCGTTAAATACACTTACGCGCAAATACATTTGGAAAATGTATGAATCTAACTTAATCTAATCTTAATCTAACTCCATACCTCCAGCTGTGGATTAATTAGTAAGACTTCTATCACTAAACCATAATTATCTCCAAAATTCTTACAATCTAAAAATATTTTCTGGTTTTAAATAATCTTCAAAGGGTTGATAAACCGTAGAAAACGAACCAGCCAATCAATCAATTATCCTGTTATAATTGTGCTTGTCCATCGCTTAGTTTGTCAGCACGACCGTCACGTCCTGTCAATACCTCATAAATAATGGACTATTCCGTGTTTTGATCGCGTTGAAAGAGGAGAAATGACTTTACTAGGTTTCAGTGAGAAAATGAAAGAAAGACGTATATATTCAAGTCTCGGGTGAGAATCTTATTAAACTGATAAGAACAAATATTACACTTTGATCTTACTAATTTCCACACTTTAGTGTAATGAGGTAGATACTGCTGCGAGCAGTTGTTCCCTTGAGATCGGCGACCTCGCAATAATAATTTTATTTGCGCTACGTCCGAATCCAGAAATGAAATGTAGTTTATCCGTACGAGGGCAGATACTACACTTTGATCCCTGCCAAAAGACCGAGGAGCTTTATTTACTTGACCCCCCCCCCCACTCCACTGAGACAGGTTGTGACACAAGGTCGGTTTTTAACGTGGGTACCTGAGTGTTTTCACTCTGGCTGCTGATCCAAGCTGGACTTAGCTGGTCGAAGCTTGTCCAAGCTGGTCAGAGCTGGTCTAAGCTAGTCATAGCTGGTCTTAGTTTGTCCTAGCTGGTCCAGACCCGAGCCGGTCCAAGCTAGTCGTAGCTGTGATCAAATCTTAGCCACAAGGCCGAGAATCGAAGACGACCGCGATAGAATGCGATAAAATGCCATTTTTCAAACGCACAGTACCGAACAACGAAAACCGAGTAAACAATCGCCAAAAATCGAATTACCATAAATTAAATGAAATAACATCGTCTGCTGAATTATTTTCGAGTTATTATTAAGAAAAATATTCGTAAAACGGTAATTTGTCTAGAAAGAAGAAGAGAAAAGAAGATAAAAGTGTTAAACGCTTCCCCTGCCAATACCTCATAAATAATGGACTATTCCGTTTTGATCACGTGGTAAGAGAGGAATCGCCACAACCTGATTTCAGTGAGAAAATGAAAGAAAGAAAGAAAGAAAGAAAGAAAGAAAGAAAGTAAAAATAAAGAGAGAAAGAAAGAAAGAAAGAAAGAAAGAAAGAAAGAAAAGAATATAGAAATGTTTAACGTCTGTTTCAGTGAAATGGAAAAATTTGTCCTTTTCAAAACTTTTCATTTTTACCCACTTCTTAAAATAATGACCGTCATTAATATGTATGATTGGTATTGCAATATTTTGCTAAAGCTGTTAAGCTCAAATATTTAACGATACGATAGGGAATTTTTACAGATATTTTATTATCGTAGAATTCGCCATGGGCTTACTCAATCATTACCTTAAGAGTTAAGAAGTAGGATTCTTCAACAAACTTAAATAAAAAAAACCGCGAAATTCGCACGTGACTCTCTAATGATAAAAATTTCAATACATTTATCGAACATCTAATTCTGACGAGCGTTTTGACACGAAATTCTGGAGTTGTTAAATGAGATATGTCCATTGAACTTTTATTGATTCATTAACTAATATACTTGTATCAATAATCGTACACTGTCAGCTTTGTTAAGACTAGTTTTTCAAAATGAAATCGGTAGTCACTTCCCAATTATGGTAAAATATTCAGGATATACTTTTATTTTCAGAATAAAATTATATTTTAGAACTAGCAGCATGGCCCGGCGTTGCCCGTGCCTGATTCAAAAATCGTACCACTCATACAGCAATCGCTATCACTTCACTTAAAATATTTTTGACATTCCTTACCTTTAAAGATGTTGGGAAATGCAAAGTCGGCCTTGGCCTTCCCGCTAACTTGGAGCATGTGCATGTAAATTTTGGTGCAAATCCGTCGCAAATTGCAGCCGTGCATTCGTTACACACACACACACACACACATCCTGCCTTTTATATATATATATATATATATATATATATATATATATATATATGTATATATCTATATTTCCATGGTAAATATACTTTTAGATGTATATTTATATAGTAAACACACACACACACACACACATATATATATATATATATAGGATAAATACATTACGTGAATTTCAGCTCGTTTTTTTTCTACTATAAATATTTGCAATAACTCATTGTGCGGTGTCAGTTCTTATTCTTCGACAGGAAGTTTATATTTATATTTAATTTTTTTTATTTCACACACACATATATATATATATATATATATATATATATATATATATATATATATATATATATATATATATTATTGCCGCCGGCAGTAATAAACTTAAAATTGATAGATGAAATTGCAACGTTATTTAGTGATGCGTATGCAAGATTAGTGCTTACGGCCATATCATGTTGAAACTCCGGCTCTCGTCCGATCACCGAAGTTAAGCAACGCCGAGCCTGGTCAGTGCCTAGATAAGTAACAGCATGTGTATACCAGGTACTGAAATAGGTAACGGCTCGGAATGAGGAATTGGAGTGCCGGAATAGAGTTCCAGTCGGGTTTCGTTACGTTCACTTACGCGGAAATACCCTTGGGTGATGAAGAATCGAAAACTGGTATGATTACACGAGCGTGTTACATCCGCTCCTACCATTACTCTTTTGGCCAGTGTGGTATTGATTTTCTAAGCATAGCTTAGATTTGGCACAAGGCCGAAGGTATGGGACACCCAGTGAGGATCGAACTCACTACTCAGTCGTAATTGTTCTAGCAAAACAAGCTTGCTAACCATTACGCCACACCGAGGTGCCCCCAGTGCGGTATAGTAATGCCCCATTCCTACGCGTGAATCTGAGGAAAGGCTTATACCCAACAAAGGGCGTTCACAGGCCGAGAAGGTAATGATATAAGATTGGAAAATGGGAAAAGAAAAACAAATATTAGAAAATAATAGCAAAAAACAAAGAAATTGAAAACGTTGGAAAGAGAAGCACAAGAAAAATTATTTTTAAGAATGTCACGAAGAAAGATTTGAAAGGTAGATTAAACAGTAAGAAAATATTTTAAGTTGGTAATGGGAGAATGTAAACAGAGTAAAATGCAGAATATAAAGAACATTGACTAAAAAGATTAAAGCAGCCAAACTATCACCTGTAAGAAAACAACACAAAGAGAAACGTGCAGGTATTTCTCACCAATGATTTTTAGTGATGAATGTAGAGCTACATTGGGCGAGTCTGATGACTGCGCTAATCGGATGTGTATCACAATCTAGCAGGTAGAAAAATTCAACGATCTAGGTCAGGCATTGGCAAACTTTTCCGAAGAGTGGGCCGTATGAAATATGGTTAAACATAACATAGGCAGCACTAATAAAAACATTTAAGATATTTTTTTGCTGAAGTACCTCGGCTATTTTCCGAAGAACATAGGCCTTAAAATGGGGGAAAATGATATAATTGATATCTTGGTATAATACAGGGTTCGGCAGAAAAATACTCCTGCATGTGCCTTCCACAAAAACCTCCCACATAACGGTATGCCATTAGTGGCAATGGTGACTTCATCTAATATCTTACCCATTATGCGAGATGTCTTTCTGAGAGGTATATGCCGAAGGCACGGTGGAGTAATGGATAGCGGCTTGGATTGAGGAGTCGGAGAGCCGAGTTCGAATTCCGGCTCTCCGATGCTCAATTCCGAGCTGTTATCCATTACACCACCCATACATCGGAGCACTTGATATTCCAAAGCAGTCGCCCCTCTAGGTACTGACAGGTGTCAATGTTGCTTAACTTCAGTTTTCGTACGAGGAGCGGTGTTTCAACGTGATATGGCAAGAAGCCAGAGCTGATTTGGCGCTTGTCTTGAGCTGGCAACCAGTCTAGAAACACATAACTCAAAGTCAACCTTCATCAGACTGCCTTGCCTTAGATAGAACACATTTTTTAAACTAATATTTACAATTAATACAAGGCCCAAGCGCCACTCAAGTTAGAGAGTTACTGTATGAACATAAGAAAAGCAGAAAGTGAAGTTCATGGGGCTATGCAGCAAGGGTAACTTTTAACCCTAGACTTGAAGTGCTCAACATTTGAGTCGATCCCACAAAGCAGAAGTTCTTGGGAAGAAGCTGTCCGAACGAAATTTACTTCTCACTAATAAATGCGAAGGGAATGGGAATGATTCTCACTAGTGTAAGTCGCATGGTGAATCCCAGATATAACGATCGGGGATGTTGGGACCATGGAAAGTAGTTCGTCAGAAGACATGGCATAGAAATAGTAATAGAGCAGCGAGAGGCTAATGAAGTTTCGTCAGGGGGAAAGGAGTTGTAGAGTGGAAAATAATTCATCACCCACAAGTCCGCGTAGATGCTTTTGAACTCTATCAAAACAGGCAAGTGAGGACTGGAAAGCCCGAGCTCAGATATGACTAACGTGCTATAGCTACAGTATTTATGGTACCCCTCACGGGATTATGACGTGAGTTAACGTGACTATGTCCTGCTATGTTGTGTTTCCAAAGCTATCAATTCACAAAGAGACACATCTTAAACTTAGTAAGAACAGACTGACTTGTCTGACACTTGGCGTCACTACAGAAGGTTGATATACCAATCTAGATTACAAAACACATTCGACGTACACGTAAGGCTGTAGAAGTATACGGGATGCGTCCATAAAGCTGTGATTTATTTGGATGTTGTCTTGTTGGTGCCATCCACCTTCTCATCAGAATGGACTGATCTCTCTACTACTAATAGGACAGTTCTATAGAGTTCTGGGAGATCAGGTGACCATCACACTTCCGTCTCTCTACCGGAAGATACAGTTGGATTTTATACTCTTTCTGATTGTTACTGACTAACCTGCGTTCGTTTGACTACTAATCTCTCTGTTGTAAATAACTCTTCAGATATACCAGTATTTTTCCCTACGTATGTGTTTGTCCTTATTTCAATACACGCACGGGGAAACACTCAACATCTCAACATGTCTCCAAGAGAAGTGATTTGCAGGACACTGCTAGCAAGCAAACCAAGAACTTTCGAGTCATCTAGTGAACTGGACATCTAGCCATGGCGCAAGACGGGTTGGTCTGCCAGTAACCACTTACATTGCCACCTAATGACCTTCCGACCTTGATACACGATGGTGATGGTTGGCGTGATAGACTCATGAGTGTTCGGGCTAGCTCGACCGAATAAGAAAAAATAAGATTTCAAATGATTCGACTATATCCATCACTTTAGAACAGCAAAGCAAATTATTTTTTATCAAGATTCTTCCAAGAGCCTCTTTCTTTTCATAGATTCGAATTAGAATGATACTGTATACTGTGCTGACAAGACTACTCACACAAAAATATTATAGATTCAAATTACACAAGAAGCTATAATGAACCATGCTTCAAGTTTGGGAAATTTAAGGCTGACAGTGTCCTTTCTGCGCGTCGGGGTTTTTAACTACGCCTTTTATGTAGATATCTTCACTCATGGTAAACAGTCGTAAATCTTCTTTCTAATTCTGTGAACACGGGATAAATATTTGTTTATGGATTTTGGCCGGAAATCACCAAGGGAGACAACTTTGTGTTTTTTTGTTTTTTTTATATTTACTTTTTTGCTTCAGTTCATGTAAAGTAAGCAGCCTATGCCAAAAGCATTTCCGGTTTATGGTAGTGGTGGTTAGACTAATTGCCAAACGGATGGATTTGTCGATAAGCAGGTGAAGATATAAAATGTTGTTTATGAACTGAAAACGGAATATTTGAAAGCGAAATAAACATTGCACAAATTGTATGACTGGTGTGAATTCAAGGAATGTATTTTTGTAAATTAATAAAAAGTTCAATTTCTTTTTAATCATTTCACTCCAAGTAAGGCAATAAAGCCACTAAGACGAAATGGGTTACTGAGTATTAGATGATCTCTATCTATAAAAAGCAGGATGTGTGTGTGTGTGTGTGTGTGTGTGTGTGTGTGTGTGTAACGAATGCACGGCCGCAATTTTCGACAGATTTGCACCAAAATTTACATCCACATGCTTCAAGTGAGTGAGAAGGCCAAGACCGACTTTGCATTTCCCAACTCCCATCGATAGTGGAAATAATCGATTTTTTCATGCATCTACGGCAGTCTTCATGTAATTTGCGACCATTTTGTACAGGCCAGAGTGAGAGCCAATAGCTGCCTGCCACGAAAAGACAGGAAGATTCTATTGGCCAGCGTGAGAGCCAACAGCTGACTGACACGAATGTTAACTAGCATGCTAGCATGCAAAAAAAATCGATAGCTACATTCGTCACAAGTGGGAAAAATTTAAATCTGCATGGCACTTTACTTCAATTGGATCATTCGCATGCTTAAACTCAACGTGGATTCTGATTCCGCAGAACTGGGTTGGGTGTGAAAAAGTATTTGTGTTCATTTTGTTTAGTTCTTTTTTCGTAACAGATTTAATGTTTAGTGTAGAGCTTAGAAAAAATTCGCAGTGTGAGATAGGCAAGAAGTAAGGCTTGTAGCAACATCAGCACGGCAAAGGGCACTCTTTTAAAGGCAAGGAAGGGCAAAAATATTTTAAGTCAAGTGATAGCGATTGCTGTATGAGTCGTATGATTTTTGAATGAAGCCGGGCTATGCTGCTAGTATATATATATATATATATATATATATATATATATATATATATATATATATATATATATATATATAATTTCCTACTACGTTATTTTGTGGATACCCATTTTTGAGTAGATATCCTATTTTTTATTTTATATTAAACAGTGTGAATAACATCTACTGGCCTGTGCATTCGAAAGACTCCGTCAGCGTTCGAACGTGCGTCACCCTTTCACACTGTGTCTGGAGGAATAAGATTTTATTTTATCTTTCCTTACGCAGCAAACTTTAAGAGTATTTTAAGAGTACTTTAAGAGTAAATTGAAAATAATCTACCTATAGATGTAACAGAAAAATTGTCCAAATCGTGTAACAGCATAATTGTTCCAATCGTGTAACAGCATAATTTTCCAAATCGTGTAACGGCATAATTGTCCCAATCATGTAACAGCATAATTGTTCCAATCGTATAACAGCATAATTGTCCAAACCGTGTAACAAATAATTCTCCAAATCGTGTAACAGCATAATTGTCCGAATCGTGTAACAGCATAATTGTCCAAATCGTGTAACAGCATAATTGTCCAAATCGTATAACAACATAATTGTCCAAATCGTGTAACAGCATAATTGTCCGAATCGTGTAACAGTAAAATTGTCCAAATCGCGTAACAAGAGAATTGTCCAAATCGTGTAACAGTAAAATTGTCCAAATCGTGTAACAAGATAATTGCCCAAATCGTGTAACAGCATAATTGTCCAAATCATGTAACAGCAAAATTGTCCAAATCGCGTAACAAGATAATTGTCCAAATCATGTAACAGCATAATTGTCCAAATCGTGTAACAGCATAATTGTCCGAATCGTGTAACAACATAAT